TTTCCAAGCGTTCAGGCGAATTGGCACATATGGCTAGACCTATATTTTATAGATCACCCGCCACTCTGTGCGTGAAGTGGTCAGCATTACGCTGCCCATTTTTACTTCTCATAACTATACCGGTTGCCTGGCTCTCTAGCGGAATTGGCTAAACCGGATTTCGGGGAGACCGGGTGACGTACTCCTTGTCGTCCGGGTTCAATCCCGGGGGTAGGCAGGAAAGCCACATTTTCTCCCAGATTGACGGTATTACCAATGGAATCAAGGCCGAAAGGTTGCGATATCCATAATACCGAGCCTAAGGGTTAACAACTCATGGCTTCTGGATACTAAAACAAACAACTATACCGGTTACCGTCTGGACCCAAACCCACGACCTTCCCTTGCACAGGCGAGCGTCTATCCGCTACACCACGTTGGCTCCATTTGTAAATTGCTTAACTGTTTGTATCCTCGTGTGCTAGATGGCAGTTAAATATCAAAACATCTTTGAAATTAAAAGAACTGTATAAACAGATACTAAAAACGACAACATCTATACATGGTTGGAAAAGAGGCAAGAATAGACTGAGCGCAGTGGAAGATGTAAAAGGCATCACATCATGATGATAAAGATTACGTCATTAAAGGATACAAAATATTTAGTTCAACCAGAAATAAAATGAGAACACCAAACACGTGTATTGTTTTTGACATGTATTTTAAAAACAAACAGAGGAAAATATAGTGCAGTCAGTTAATTAAGTCAAATATAGTTTTCAAATATATCCATTAATAACACTCTTATGGAATGAGAAAATAAAAACAGCAGCTAGGGAGAAGAAATGCAGATACCAGGAGTGGGCGAAAAGTACAAATCAAGATAATCTTGAACACATAAAACACATAGAACGATAGCCAGAGATGTCAGAAACGCCAAAGAAACATCACGGCAGAAATACAGCGACATGCTGAACGCTGACCACAAAAGTGCTAAACAAATTAAAGTTATGAGAAGTAGGAACGAATACTACAACCCAACAGAAATTATAAATGACAAGACAGAAGTCCACTTAAACGAGCCATAAAAGGTCCTAGATAGATACTGTCAAGATTTCAACGACCTGCTTAATTTACAATCATAGGAACAATCCACAACACAGAAAAACAAAAGCTACATAAACGAAAATAACACAATATAAGAGGCATCTTCCAACAAAACACCAGACCCTAATAATATACCTGCTGAACAACTCGAAGCAAAAATAGATGTTGACGTAAAATGGATGCACAGACTGTTAAACCTACTCTAGACAACATAATAGACACCGGAGGACTGGAGAAAGGCAACAATAGTGCCTATCTGGACGAAGAAAAGCAGCAAGACAGACTGTGAGATGTATAGGAGAGTTTTATTGAGTCGCATTGGGAAAATATTTTGTAAGATCCTTGAGAAAAGGCTATGTCTTATCACCAAACCACAACTTGGGAACAGATGGGATTTCGGAAAAACCGAAGTTGTATTGATGCAATATTCACACTTAGACAATTAGTGGAAAGGATGGTAGAATTCGATAAAGAATTACACGTCGCATTCGTAGACCAAGAGAAAGCTTTTGATCGAGTTAACAGAAATAAATTATGGAAGATACTACAGGATTACGGTGTAAACGAACATATTGTGCAAGAGTTTATAGTGAACAGTCAATTGCAGTTGGAACAAACACAGAAATGTCAGAAAAGTTATGGAGTGAGACTTGGATGCGTTCTATCATAACTACTATTCATCACAATTGTCGACATGTGCAAATCAGCTAACATCAGCGAAGTGGACAACATCTAGGAATTACTAAATAAATTGCTTTTCGCTGATGACCAGGCAATCATTTCACCAGCTGTAGTACAACAACAAGAACATATTAATAGACTCCACTCAGAATGCGACAACTATGAAATTAAGATCAAAGTAGACAAAACAGAAGTGATGATATTCTCCAGAAAAGCAACAACAATTAACCTAAAAATTGATGAACACCATTTAAAGCAGGATTTTACATATCTGGGAAGCATATTTTCAGAAGACGTAAATACTAGTTAAGATATTCAACAAAGATGTAATGAAGCCAGTCAAGTTTTAGGCCAAATGGCACCAGTTTTGAAAATGCAAGCATGTGAATATAAACACCAAAAGAACACTATTCAACACGATATTCTCGACAGAAATGGAATGTTTACTTACTATGCTAGGTGTAACGAAGAAAGATGGGAAGGCCAGAGGTCTTTATGGAGGCTGTGGTTCGACACATGTCCACCACTGATCCATACAGTGTGGTTGCCACCTAAATGCCAACTGGCTAGACCTGGGTTCTGTCTAATGCAAGCAGAGTTCACGTCTGCAGGACATGTTCAGTACTTTGTGGTCCATGCCCACAGGGACCAAGTTCTGAGTCCCCAGTCTTGAATTTCTTGTACCTATGGCTATGGAATCTGCTGTGACCACCTCGCATCTAAAGACTTTAATTACATAATTACAATAAATTTGAGATTTAAACATATAAGAACGATTTTTAAAAATGTTGTTCTCTTAACTTCTTTATTGTATGCTTCTAACGTCACTTTAACGCCCCACTCCCCCACCTTCACCCGAAACAGCTCAAAGTTACTTTCATCCTCTTGGACTGTCCCGAAGTTCTCTCAGTTCAACCGTGGCTACAAACACCCTCCTAGATCAGCGGCTCTCAACCTGTGGGTCGCGGGTCTTTTGGGTAATTTCACAGGGGGTCGCTATAGACCACTGCAAAACAGATATTCACTGAAGTTATGAAGTAGCAACGAAAATATTTATACGGTTTGAGGTCGCCACAACGTTTCAGTTATCTAGCGTGTTCTCGTATCTCTGCTTCTATTCCCCGACAAACGATACATGAAATTGTGATTAGCATTTCATTTGTAACAGTTGTATCTGTGTAATTATATTATAATCGTATTGAAATAAATACATAACATTAAAACTCTATACTGTAGGACTGTGCGATACACTACAAGAAATACAACATTTACAAACAACACCTACTTTAGATTTTTCACTTCCCCTCTTGGAAAGCAAATTGAAAGTTTACCAGTAGGTGACTCTAAGAGCCATATTACCATGTCAACACAAAGTGGAAATTCCCAGATAGCCAGTTCAACCATACAAAACAGTAATTTTGAGTTACATAGTGACACTAATTATACAAAGGCTTAAGGAGACAAATATGTGAGAAACACACACACAAAGACACGACAAGTATGATGTAAATATTGTTTTCGCTTGTAGAAATAAAATCAATTAAAGTGTATAATACAATTATAAAACAAACACACACAAAACAAGCGAACTTACGTACACAAGATAAATGTCCACTTCAGAAGGAAGAATAGAAAAGGTAATAAGGTAACTGACACCACAGTTGACACAAAGTGGAATATCTTTGTCCACCAACGCAAATCTAATTAAAAATACTTTATGCAAACATTATATTCTTCTTCTTTGCGTGCACCAGCTGTAAACTCCGGCGGAAAGTTCTGGTTGTTCTTCCACTTCTAGACTGTAGTCCTGTTCCAGAACCTGAATGTTGAATGCGCATCGGTTTTACAGATCTGACTTATCTGAACGCAAACTGCTGGTTCCTTGCTTCTCAAGCAGCAACACTCTGACTTCGAAGGAAGCTCTCAATTAACTCCTATGCCATGCTTTTGGGCAGGCGGTGGGTCTATTCTTGTTTTCCCTATAATAGGGCCCTGGAACCCACACGGTGAATTAACAGTATTGTTTAAGAAGAATTGCCGGCGTTACACATTAGTTGCAGATCCTCTATATGATCTTGCAATACCATCCCTAGCATGTGTTATTTTTTTTTTTTTTGGGGGGGGGGGGAGGGGTGGTTTAAACAATTTTACGTTAAGTAGTTTGAAATGCCCTGCAAGGTCGGCTGTCAATACCATTGTCGAAATCAACGCAAAGTGGTCTGCTGTCGAATCCCCCGTCGCTGGAATCAACCGGCTATCTCGTAATAACAAATCGCGTCCGTACCGCCTAAGTTACAGATAGCAAGAAAAGTTAAAATTAAAAATGATGAAATTAGCTGAAAACAGGACTTAAAACTAGTCATATTAAAAAGCAACAAAGGAGATGGTTTGGCCTTCTTATGAGAATGACCTAGTACCAACTACCACATCGAGCCATGCTAAAGAAATACAGTGAACACAGGGCAAGAGAAACATCTGCACCTGCCTGTCCCTCGACCATTTCCTGCATTGCCTCCCTAATGTGTTTAATTTTGTGTAGCTCTTCTCTGCCCTCCAGTACTTTTACCTATTCTTCTCCTCGGCTACTTTCTTAAAATTTCTGAAACAAATCAACTACAGCCTTATGTTGAACAGTATGATAGCTCCGATGTGAGAAGGTTGAGCTGAGATGACTTGAGTTAAGAACGAATATCATAGTTGTCGGGCCTTGCCATTTGTACTCCGTCCTCATCTTTAGCAGGCAGTGCAGAGTTCCACATCTGATTGTAAATAGAGCTAGTCTGATCGAATGTCCGTCTCGCCTTTCTCTGAGTTGTGAGTGTCGGCCAGATCACATGGTCATTCCCAGTTGCACCATTCTCACCAGACCGCAGTGATTTGTTGGCGGTTTCGTACTCTCTACTCGCACACAAAGCTCGCTCAAAATGAACAAGGAGCAATCTTCAGGTTCTTTATACAACCTAACAGCTAATACAACACCTGTCTAAAAACTAAGGATAGGAGGCAATGATACATTTTAATGCGTAACTTAAATTACTAATAACATTTGCTTTAAGCCCGTCCACAATATACACATTAAAGAAAACTATATTGGCCTATACACTAGATAAAAACACACTTTTATGGGGGCGGGGGGGGGGGGGAGATGTCAGAAAATTCATAGTAAAGATGATTTCTTGAAACATTTATTCAAAAAAAATTCTATGTAGGTAAAAGAAGATGTCATTGCCTGCTTAAATGAAAATAACAAACAATATGTTCTGCAGGCGTCCAAATCTTTTGGCGTAATCAGCGTCGTGTATGCAGGTCTGGTTAAAATTATAAGGAGTGGTATTTACTGTAGCAACAGGTCCTGTAATGAATTTTTTATTCTGCACCAAGGAAACCACTTCTGGATCATAAATGCCTTTCCGAAAAAAATAAACTACTTTCCTCCACAATTCCATGCCTCTTGCTGTTCCCGCCTCCAGTGAGAGATGGGGTTCCTCTCTCTCCATATCTATGCTAATTTTGAATGCAATGATGGCTCCAGTACCGCCTCTAGCTTTTCTGTGCGCCCAGTCTACGGCCTTGTCTATGTCTTTCGTCACATAAAAACCGTTTCCGTAAGAAAAGTCTTTTCTTGTTCTCGATTTTGTCAAATCGATGCCGCTATTGAGGATGTTGACAGCAAAGGCAGACGTAGTGCTGTGGTAGTAGACCGTTTCATTATAACCGGTATTCGGTTGCAGTTGAAACATTGCAATACTTGGTATGTTTAACAATGCACTTCCCGACAGATTGATCATCTTCACTTTGGATCTCACGGGCAAGAACCCGGGCTCTACAGATCCAGGTCTCTCAATCTCTTGCTCAAACAACGTGTTAGTCAGGCCAGATCCGTAAGGGAATCGAAGCATCTGAAACAGAAAAGTGAAATATACTAGCTGACCTGTTGGTTATAACATTTGAACATTATCAAAAAACCATGACATAATAAGTATGAAGAAGAAGTGCTTTCTCTCATACACACACACACACACACACACGCGCGCGCGCGCGCGCGCACACACACATGAAAGTGGGAAGGGCATCAACTCCCTAAAAATTTTCCATGGTCTTTGATTCTTTTCCTGAGCGTCCACTGACGGCTTGATATAAGGTTGATGTCATCTGCAGAGTCCAAATCCTCTAAAACGGAGTTGAGTGGCCACCTGATGCTTCTTTTTCTATCTCGTGTAACTTCCTTCTTCAGCCAGTCAATGGCCAAACTGAACAAAAAGGGGGATAGTATGTCTCCCTGTCTGACCCCCTGTGTTGACAAAGAAACCGTCTGTTGTATAATTATCACAAACTACCTTGCATTGAAACTCTAAGTAAATAGCTTTGATCAAATTTACTATTTTCTGTGTTACACCATAGTGACGCAAAATCTTCCATAGTGGTTCCCTATACAGGTTATCAAAGGTTTGTTCAAAATCCACAAAGGTCATACAAACTGCACTAATTCGTTACTTTGTTCAATTATTTGACGCAGCGTGAAGATGTTTCCTCGCAGTGCAACTGGCATGATCGTTAATGTTATTATATTTTTTACACCTTGATCAACTCTCTAAAATACGAAAGCGTTAACTTTTGAACAGAAAATTATTAAAGAGCACAACAACAAAAACCAATCAATTGACAGTTGTGTGGCATCTGCGTCATAAATAGTTTTTAGACGTACAGGCTTTTGAATGAATTAATTTAAACGGGGCAGCAGATAACTACGCGGTGTTTTTTTAACAGTATACTTTTGACAAGTCACGTTGAGTACTACAGTAGAACCTCGCTTAACGAACACCCCTCATAACGAGTAATTCGCATAACGAGCAAAACAAATTGTAAAAGAATGACTCACTTAACGAGCGACGTTTCGCATAACGAGTGGCGAGGAGAGGGGACGTCACGGATTTTGCGCATGTTACATCAGGCTGTGTTTAGCACTCGTTCCAGTAGCGATGTCGCTTGTGATCACACATTTTCTCAAACTTGTGTTTTTTGTGTGATATATATACATGAATCCTCCAGGCCTACAAGATGACCTCCCTGATGATTTTAAGTTAATCAAGATCCAGTTTCTGTCTCCCAACACCACTCCGTTACTCCAGCCAATGGACCAGCAGGTTATTTATAACTTTAAGAAGCTCTACACTAAAGCACTCTTCCAGCATTGTTTTCATGTGACTGGAGGGACCAACCTCACTCTCAAAGAGTGGAAAAATCACTTCTACATCGTTGCCTGCCTCAAGATGACCGACAAGGCGAGGGAAGGGTTTACCAAGAGAACCATAACTTCTTCTTGGAGAAAGCTTTGGCCGGAGAGTGTTGTCGATTTGTGACTTTGAGGGGTTTAAGACAGTACTTGTGGAACCTGCAGTCAACGAGATTGTGTCTTTGACCACTATCATGGCATTGTAGGTGGATAACAGTGATCTCGAAGAGCTTGTGGAAGAGCACAGCCAAGAGCTGACCACCGAAGAGCTTATGGAGTTGCATTGTGTTTCACAGCAAGACGTTTTGAAGGAAAGTTTGTCAGAGGAGGAGGAGTAGGTAACATAAAAGCAGCAATCTTCTGGCGAAATAAGAAAAACGCAGAAAGCAGGGAAAACTGTTGCTTCTCACATTGAGAAGCATCACCCTAATAAGGAAGTGGCTTTGCGAGCTGCAAATTTATTGATAATGCTGTGTCGCATTTTCGCCAAATTTTGAAGCGTCGACAAAAACAAATATCTTTAGACATCTTTCTAGTAAAAAAATAATTAGCTATGTATCATAATTATTTCGACTTTTTTTCTGCAGATAGAATTCGCATTCCATGTGTGTTCGTTCCGCGTTTGAAGAAAAGATGAAGATGATTCACTCTCCTTAAAATTCTATATAATTTTCTTTAAATAAATGTTGTAGTATAACTTAAACATAGCATTTTGTGAGTATTTTTTTCGACATGGAACGCATTATCGTATTTTACATTAATTTATATGAGAAAAATTGCTTCGCATAACGAGTGTTTCGCTTACCGAGTATGATTCTGGAACGAATTATGCTCGTAAAGCAAGGTTCCACTGTATTTATTGTTAATGAGTTCCCTCCCCTTTCTCCTTCCCCTGGACTCCACACTCCCCCCCCCCCCCCCCCCCCCCCGCCCACCAATTTCCATTACCACACCACCCCAACCTCTCCCTACCCTAACCCGCTCATTGTTATTTGTCGTGATATGAAATTGTGCAAAGCAGTTGTTCCCAACCTTTAACTTTTGGAGCCCTTTCAAGAATCAATGTCGATGGCTGAACCCCTGAGTGCGTACTATACCTATGTCTTACAAGCTAAAGTTACTTGGCTATTTACTTACAACAGTGGCAACAGACAGGTCCCATTACTCATTGCATAATGTATATTACAGTAAAAATAAAAACAAGTAAAGTAAATAAAGGACCCTTTTCCACGCCTTTAGGCGTATATGGCATATAGGGCTAGATCTATATTTTATAGACCCATGGGCACAAGATGGCTGATGTGGTCACGCCGTCTATTACAGCAGCCCTAGAAAAGAACTTACGCCTAAATAAAGATATCAGCACTGCCTACCATTACGTATCACCAGAAAAAAAAAACAGCCCTGCTTCCACTGAAGTCTTTACGATTGTCTTTCTATTTGTATATGGCTGCAGCAATTACGTCAACGTGTCCACAACACTGCTAAGAACACGAGAATTGGGAGTAAAGATGGCCACAGCCAAGCATGAGAAGCACACCGAACCACACGAAGTCTTGTCAACCTCCGTAGGACTGGCTCTATTACGCGCGAAAAGCTGATGAAAATGTTGAAGAGAGAATCTGAGCACCTATGTGCTGTGAGGATGATAAGGTCCCTTTTGCAGGCCTTTGAGCGTATTGGAAATATGGGGCTAGACTTATATTTTTTAGACTTGGCGGCACTAAGGTGGTGATGTGGTCAGCACCACACCGGCCGCCTTTACTTCCCATGACTGTACCTGGTACCCACTCAACGCTGAGTCGACCTGGAAGTCAAGATCATTTTTGAAAAAAAAAATTCCGGCACCGTCAGAATGCGAACCCATGACCTTCCGATCCGCAGGCGGGCGTCTAGCCGCCAACACCACGGCGACTAAATTTGACTAAATTAAAAATGTTTGACTCACAGAGTGTGTTGAAATTGCCATAATTTAGGTACAATGTGAAGTTGTCAAATTGAAGTTGTAGCACTGGAATACTTCCGAATTATACTCAAGCAGACTATGAGGGAGATTTATAAATTACACGAAAACGAAAGTGAAAATAATGGATGGAAATGCCGAAATACAATGGTTGGTTTCGAATTTTGCTGTTTTGGTAACAGAACTAAACATAGCGATAAGTTAATCATGTCGCAAGTGACATCATTATCACGTGACATATTCTTGACTTTTTTTTCAAACCCCCCCCCCCCCCCTCCTCACCCAACCACACCCCACCCAGTAACGCTGGCACAAAGAAATCATTGATGGACAATGGGGATCTTAACCCCTTTTATAATTGTAGTGAGCTTGAGCTTAAAAGGCCTGAAACAGGCCATGTTCAGTGCATTATTATTATTACTTTTATTATCAACATCATAATAATCAGGACCGTGACGTTTTTTTTTTTTTTTTTTGCATTTTTCTGTATGTTGCTGCAGTCGGTAGATGGTTTTTTGTGGTAATTTTTCTGTATGTTGGTGCAGTCGGTAGATGGTTTTTTGTGGTAATTTTTCTGTATGTTGGTGCAGTCGGTAGATGGTTTTTTGTGGTAATTTTTCTGTATGTTGGTGCAGTCGGTAGATGGTTTTTTTGTGGTAATTTTTCTGTATGTTGGTGCAGTCGGTAGATGGTTTTTTTTTTGGTAATTTTTCTGTATGTTGGTGCAGTCGGTAGATGGTTTTTTTTTTGGTAATTTTTCTGTATGTTGGTGCAGTCGGTAGATGGTTTTTTTTTTTTTTTTTTGGTAATTTTTCTGTATGTTGGTGCAGTAGGGAGGATATAGTCTTTGTAGGTGTGTCCTTGCTTGTTTGTTGGGGAGGAGGACCTATGCTGTATACAGTCGTGGGACCTATACTGCATTTAGTCGTGGGACGTAGGTGGGTTTGGGTTAGGGCTAGTTGCAGATGTTTTGGGGTCGTTAAAAGCGCTCACATTGTGGAATATAGAATACTAAATTTCGCCTGCAGGTGGCAAACAATTTTTTTTTTTTCCTGGGTTGGAGGATGCTGTTTAGCAGTTTGTTTGTGTGTGTGAAACTCTATCTGCAGTCGGAGACATTGCCAGTTAGGGTACTGTGAGGATGGCCCTAAAAAGGTCCAGTCATTCTAGATGTATACTACTGGGTTCACACACGAATTGACAATCACAACAGTTAAACACGTTAGTAGATCTAGGGTGAGATCGGAATGCGGAGAGACGACAGACTATTGATCTGATGGTCAGAATGCGACATCGCCGGCAGGTGACAAGTGTTGTTGTTTTTTCTCCACTACATTAGGAGGATGGTTGCAAAATTTATTTTTTTTTAAGTTAACAAGAAATAATACATCTAAAAAAAATTTACATTCATTTTCATGGCACCACAGACCGAGATATAATCCCTTAGACCAGTGTCTTAGTGGAAAATGTTTGCTGTTTTCTATATATATCCTTGGAAGATAACCAGCGGGAAAGCCTAATCTTACCACCCTTGAAACTATTTGACTGTTCCGTGAAGTCATTGGAGTAACTAAATAAAAAAAAACTACCACGTTCTATATTTTTTACGTACCCCTTACGTCACAATGACGTCACGGGAGACATTCCCAATAAATTCCAGGGTGTTCAGGTTGTAGTTTCTGGCAGTTTCTCTACATCCAAGTTCACATCGCAAAAGCGCGCACTTGCAAAGCACGCGCGCTTGACTATGACGTGCAGTGTTGCCACTTTGGATGTTTTACATCCACATTTAGATGTTTTTACTTGCATTTAGATGTCTTTTTGACGTTTAAATGGTAGATGCTTTTCTAGATTCTTTTTATTTGGAGTTAAATATTTTTTGTTCTTATGATAGATGCTTTTCATTTGGAATTAAATATTTTTTTCTTATGGTAGATGATTTTCTAGAAGCTTTTCATTTGGTGTTAAATAATTTTTTTTCTTTCAATTACTCAAACTTTGAACTCTTATTGGGGTCAAAGCTCAGATATATGGCAGCCCCAGTACTGATTAATTAAAAGGGCGCGCAAATCACACTAACTTTGTTTCAACCGTATCCTCACTGTGCTAACTTTGTGTGTTTTTTTCATGTGATTTAAAAAAAAATAATTGCTCACCTTCATATGTGGCTTTCACTTTGAAAAAAAAAACATTTCAACATGCTAAAAGTAAAGTATGAGCAAAAATATTGGCAGTTCCCGGGGATATCACCAAGGCTCTTTGTAAGTACAGCCAAATGCGCACCAACAGACAGAATTATGTCGCACCATAAGACACTAGATGAACACTCGAATACAGCAGCACACAGCAGCACACTTGCACCCCTTGAAATAATGGACTGTCAAGTCAGCTGTGGAATTCCCACGGGAATTTCGTGTTTGGGGGACGTTAAAAATATAGAACCAAATACCATTATCATTAGTAGTAGTAGTAGTAGTAGTATAGTCGTCGTCATCATCATCATCATCATCAAGTGCAGAATGGTAAATAAATTAAAACATATATGTTTGAAATAATATGAAAGGTGTAAATACAAACAGAAGAAAATCTATACATGTTGGGGGAAAGAAAAAAAAAGGGAAAAGGGGGGAGTGGGGAGGGGGGTATTTCGCACAGTGCAAATTTTCCTGCCGGCCTCCTAATCTTAAAATAATTGTTATAAGAGGGGCCTGAAGTTTTTTTTGAGCATCGGGTCCCGGCGTCCTTGCCCTCATTGCAGCCCGCTGGAAATCCACTAGGTCCGTTGCCTATTCTCCTGCCACGTGCCTGTTAATTACCGAAGGCGCCTATACCTTCTACAACTACCTTCCTGTTTGTCGATCTTTATTAGATGCAACATATAGGTCTAGCCCTGTGTCCTCAATACGCCTGAAGCCATGGAAAAAGTTTCAACTTCAATTTTTATATTAGGTGTGCCGGAATTTGCGGCTTCGTGCATCTTCAGGCCAAATATATGCAAAATAGTGGAACGGCAAGTGGCGCCCCGTGTATGGACATACTTCTTCTTCCACTTCTTCTTCTTCTGTTTTTTTCTTTTACTCATTCTTCTACTTCTACTTCTTCTTCTTCTTCGCCTTCTTCTTTTTCTTTGTTACCTGTATATAAGCTCCAAAGGAAATTCATGGTTGTTCGACCATTTGGACTTTGTGCGCCAGGGCCTGAATTGTACATCCGTCTTACTGGCATATTTGTGTGCAATTGGTTGTTTCTTGCCACTAGGGCAGATGTACTTGAACTTCGAAGGAAGCTCCCAATTAGTCGACTACTACGACATGCTTGTTGTGGAGACACTGGCTTTATTCCTGTTTTGCCCACAATGGGACCGGAAGCCCACACGGGGTGGACTATTTTTGGGGTATTTGTTTATTAATTTCATTTTATTTAAAATCTATTATCATTGTGATGTGTGTCGGCTCTGTGGCTAAGTCGATGCGAACGATTCGTAATGCCGGAATGCCGGGTTCGATCCCAGCTGCGGGCCATGCGCCTTGTGTTGGTTTCGACATTGATATCAAGAAAACCGACCGTCTAGAAAGCATTGGCAAACTACTGGGCGTAAATTTGCCTAGAAAAAACACACCTTCTTGGAGACTGTTTCTAGCACTACTGTATTGACAATTGTGGTTGGTAATGACAGAGCTTTTCCTAGAATACGGTTGAGAAATTGTTACACCTGAATGTGAAAGAAACCTAGCAGAATATGAAAGTAACGTGTAACATTCTGGGTATGGCTGTGGAAGAGCACTGGAGGAATCGTTAATCAATAACGAAACTGAAAAGCATAGCTCTTTCCAAGAAAGTACACATTTAATCTGTTCTTGTGTGGGGTTGACGCCTGCGAGTTATGGCTTATACACGCAGTTTCACAGTTACTACATACCAGTAAAAATCAACAACACCTTGAGTGCCGGTCCTTATATACGAAGGGTCATACAACAGAAGCTTCGCCAAATGCGGGATTCCTGGCTGTTACATCTGAATGGTGTTGACGCTATGTGTCCCCTAATTAAAACTTTATCAGAGTTGAAGGGAGCATCTAGAATCTACCTTGCTGGCCTGACGTGCAGTTTGCGGTTTTTTTTCAGTCTCAGGATATTATAGTAAACTTTAAGGTATCAGTCCTGGGGGAACAAACTGATTGATCTTACATACGATTTGGTAGCAGGCAGCTTTGATCATCAATGGGGTGAGGGTCGAACTGTTCAGATAGGAAATTCAAACTCTTCAATATGGGGTAAGTCCATTGCAGAAGGTGTTTTTTATTACAGCATGCTGGAAAGGTACCTGGTCTCTTGCAAATGTTTCCGCCCCCTGAACTTTCATGTAAAGGGTGTCCTTGGTATCCTGTGCCAACCACCATGCAGGTCTACCCCTGCTTTTATCCAACTCCTAAATAGCAGTCTGTATGATTAACAGCTCAAGGATGAGAATCGGACAAGTTCAAATCCCTAACTAAATAACTGTTAAACTGTCTAGCGATACAACCTTTTTACTGGGCGAGAACAGATGAGTTGCCAAGTGACATGCAGTACTGTGTGGGCAAGAGGGCAGCGGTCATTGTTGTGTTTTCTAACAGCCACTAATTATAAATAAAGCGAATAGAATTCGTGCTTTGATCATAGTTCTGTTGGATAGTAGCGGGATACAAAAGTAACAAACGAAGCCAATTTTTTATTTCCCCAGATTTTCGCCGGTGCTATGATGTTTCATGGAAATATGGGTGCTTTATTAATATTCTACCCCAAAGAGGGAACATCTACAAGTCACGGGACAGTCTAATATTTCAGGGGGTGGTAGATAGGCTGCATGTAGTCGAGGGACCACGGGTGCACTCTCTCGTTGGACGTAGTTGGGTTGGGGTTAGGACCAGTTCTAGATGTTTTGTAGTCGTTGAAAGCATCATAAAGCAGGGAAACCCAATCTTATCACCCTCTAAAATGTTGGACTGTCATGTGACGTCATCTGGG